ATTTCTTTCATGAGTGTTCTATAGTTTTCTGAGTACAGATCCCTGGCCTCTTTGGTCAGGTTTATTCCTAGGTATCTTATGATTTTTGGTGCAATTATAATGGGATCAACTCCTTAATTTCTCTTTCTTCTGTCTCACTGTTAGTGTATAGAAATGCAACTGATTTCTGTGCATTAATTTTATATCCCACCACTTTGCTGAATTCCTGGATGAGTTCTAGCAATTTTGGGGTGGCGGCTTTTGGATTTTCCACATAATGTATCATGTCATTTGCGAAGAGTGATAATTTGACTTCTTCTTTGCTGATTCGGATGCCTTTTATTTCTTTTTGTTGTCTGAATGCTAGGCTAGGACTTCTAGTACTATGTTGAACAGCAGTGGTGATAGTGGACATCCCTGCTGTGTTCCTGACCTTAGGGGAAAAGCTCTCAGTTTTTCCCCATTGAGAATGGTATTCATTGTGGGCATTTTATATATGGCTTTTATGATATTGAGGTATGTTCCTTCTATCCCTACACTGTGCAGAGTTTTAATCAAGAAAGGATGCTGTACTTTGTCAAATGCTTTTTCTGCATCTATTGAGAGGATCATATGATTCTTGTCCTTTCTTTTTTTAACGTAATGTATCACATTGATTGATTTGCAGATGTCAAACCACCCTTGCAACCCAGGAATAAATCCCACTTGGTCGTGGTGAATAATCCTTTTGATGTATGTTGTATCCTATTGGCTAGTATCTTGGTGAGATTTTTTGCATCCATGTTCATCAGGGATATTGGTCTGTAATTCTCCTTTTCAGTGGGGTCTTTGGTTTTGGGATCAAGGTAATGTTGGCCTCATAGAACAAGTTTGGAAGTTTTCCTTCCATTTCTATTTTTTAAAACAGCTTCAGAAGAATAGGTATTAATTCTTTAAATGTTTGGTAGAATTCCCCTAGGAAGCCATCTGGCCCTGGACACTCGTGTGTTGGGAGATTTTTGATTACTGCTTCAATTTCCTTGCTGGTTATATGTCTGTTCACGTTTTCTATTTCTTCCTGGTTTAGTTTTGGTAGTTTATACTTCTCTAGGAATGCATCCATTTCTTCCAGATTGCCTAATTTGTTGGCATATAGTTGCTCATAATATGTTCTTAGAATTGTATTTCTTCAGTGTTGGTTGTGTTCTCTCCTCTTCCATTTATGATTTTGTTTATCTGGGTCCTTTCTCTTTTCTTTTTGATAAGTCTGGCCAGAGGTTTAACAATCTTATTAATTCTTTCAAAGAACCAGCTCCTAGTTTTGTTGATCTGTTCTACTGGTTTCTATTTCATTGATTTCTGCTCTAATCTTTATTATTTCTCATCTCCTGCTTGGCTTTATTTGCTGTCTTTTTCCAACTCCTTTAGGTGTAAGGTTAGGTTGTGTATTTGAGTCTTTTCTAGTTTCTTGAGATAGCCTTGTATTGCTATGTACTTCCCTCTTAGGATCGCCTTTGCTGCATCCTAAAGGTTTTGAACAGTTGTGTTTTCATTTTCATTTGTTTCCATGAATTTTTAAAATTCTTCTTTAATTTCCTGGTTCACTCATTCATTCTTTAGTAGGATGCTCATTAACCTCCAAGTATTTGTCTTTCCAAATTTCCTCTTGTAATTGAGTTCAAGTTTCAAAGTGTTGTGGTCTGAAAATATGCAGGGAATGATCCCAATCTTTTGGGCCAGTTGGGACCTGATTTGTGACCTAGGATGTGATCTATTCTGGAGAATGTTCCATGTGTACTTGAGAAGAATGTGTGTTCTGTTGCTTTAGGATGGAATGCTCTGAATATATCTGTGAAGTCCATTTGGTCCAGTGTGTCATTCAAAGCCCTTGTTTCCTTGTATTGATTTTCTGCTTAGATGATCTGTCCATTGCAGTGAGAGGGGTGTTAAAGTTCCCTACTATTACTCTGTTATTATCAATGTGTTTAGATCTTCTTGCTGAATAGACCTTTTAATTATGATATAATGTCCTTCCTCATCTCTTATTACAGAACTTTGGTTTAAAATCTAATATGTCTGATATAAGGATTGCTACCTCTGCTTTCTTTTGATGTGCATTAGCATGGTAAATGGTTTTCCAGCCCCCCACTTTCAATCTGGAGGTGTCTTTGGGTCTAAAATGAGTCTCATAGATAGCATATCAACAGGTCTTGCTTTTTTATCCAGTCTGATACTCTGTGTCTTTTGATTGGAGCATTTAGCCCATTTACATTTAGAGTAACTATTCATAAAGATACGAATTTAATGCCATTGTATTGCCTGTAAAGTGACTGTTTCTGTATTTTGTCTCTGTTCCTTTCTGGTCTGTGTTACTTTTGGGCTCTCTCTTCGCTTAAAGGATCCCCTTTAATATTTCTTATAGGGCTGGTTTAGGGATCACAAATTCTTTTAGTTTCTGTTTGTTCTGGAAGCTCTTTATCTCTCCTTCCATTCTGAGTGACTGCCTTGCTGGATAAAGTATTCTCGACTGCATATTTTTCTCCTTAGCACCCTGAATATATCATGCCAGTCCTTTCTGCCTGCCAGCTCTCTGTGGATAGGTCTTCTGCCACTTTACTATTTCTACCCTTGTAAGTTACAGACCTGTTGTCCCAATCTGCTTTCAGGATGTTCTTTGTCTCTGAGATTTGCAAGCTTCACTATTTTATGTTGAGGAGTTGACCTATTTTTACTGATTTTGAGGGGGGTTCTCTGTGCCTCCTGGACTTGAATGCCTGTTTCTTTCCCCAGATTAGGGAAGTTCTCAGCTATAATTTGCTCCAATAGACCTTGTTCCCCTTTCTCTCACTGTTCCTTTTCTTCTGGGATCCCAGTTATTCTAATATTGTTTCACTTTATGGTATCACTTATCTCTCGAATTCTCCCCTTGTGATCCAGTAGTTATTTATCTCTCTTTTTCTCAGTTTCTTTATTCTCCATCATTTTGTCTTCTATATCAGTTACTTTGTCTTCTGCCTCATTTATCCTAGGAGTTAGAGTCTCCATTTTTTATTGCATCCCATTAATAGCCTTTTTTATTTTGACTTGATTAGATTTTAGTTCTTTCATTTCTCCAGAAAGGGATTCTCTAGTGTCTTTTATGCTTTTTCAAGCCCAGCCAGTAAATTTGTCATAATTATTCTGAACGTTAGCTCTGACATCTTATCGATATACATACTGACTAGGTCCCTGGCAGTCAGTACTGCCTCTTGCTCTCTTTTTTGAGGTGAGTTTTTTCATCTCATCATTCTTGCAGAAAGTGGTCGCTTTTCTAATTGTAGAGTTGCAGCTATTCTTTTATTTGATCTCAGGTTGAGTTCACAGGTGTTCAGAATGATTTGATAGCTATCTAGTTGACTTCCTGGGACCAGATAAAATAAAGGTCTCCTACTCCTCTGCCATCTTGGAAAGTAATTGCATGCTAAGCTACTTCCTTCCAACATTTTCTATTCTGTGAGTCAGATGAGTATCTATGGACAATGAAGCCATTAATATGACCTCCTTTAATTACCAATTGACCCTACTTTTCATGAGCTCATCTAAACCTAAGTACTTCCTAAAGGCCCCACCTCCTAATATCATTACATTGGTGGTTAGGGCTTCAACATATGAATTTGAGGGGAGGGGGGTACAAACATTCAGTCCATAATGAACACATAATAATTAACATTGGAAATCATTGATTCCAGAAGTAAGATAAAAATTTTAGTCACTTTTCATGATCTGTTGTGATTTTTCCTACATATGTATGTATGTATTTAGTGCCAAACCTGGAGTCCATAGAAGCTAGTCAGCTACTTTAGGAAGCAACCTTGTACCATTCTCAGAGTCTATGCCATGTAGAAGATGTCAATTATATTTTTCTCCCAATAAATTCTAAGAAAAAGAGGCATTCGTGAAAAATTTTTAACCATATTCTTTTTGAAGCTCAAACTTTAGGAAGTGTACAAATGGACTTTTATTTCCCTAATTATCTTCCAAAAGTCATTGATAGCATGCAAAATGTAAATGTGTGCTAATGACAAAGGGTCTGTATTCAAAATAATTTGGTAACTGATAACCTAAACAAAGTTATAGCACAAGACTTCTATAACAGAGCTTCTTTGAGGTGTTACATTGATAATTTTTACTGTGTGTATCAAGAAGGGGATAACATATACACCAGTTTCCATAGTTGTTTTACCATGAAATCCTACTTCATACATGCATGCATGTGTGTGCAGAAGTGTGTGGTGTTTATTTAAATACCTATCAATATATTGTAACTTAGAAACATAAGAAAAAGTGTCAGAATGAATTGCTTGATTTTATTCTCAGATCTTTGGAAATACCTGTTAATTAAATAATGATAAAATATGTAAAGTTTGTTTAACAGGGTACCTATGTATTTTCATTCCTTTAAATATTGCTATAAACGATTATCCTGTAAAATAACTTATCAACATTTAACAAATTTTGTCCTTATTGAACTTCTACATGGTCATCTAGTCTGATAAATTTAGAAAGCATTTGAACTAATGTATTTCAGTGTATTTTCCTAGTGTTTTTAAGGAAATGTCTTTTTTTTTTTTAAGATTTTATTTATTAATTTGTGAGAGAGAGAGAGAGCATGAGCAGGGAGTGGGAGAGGGAGAAGCAGGCTCCCTGCTGAGCAGGGAACCCGATGTGGGGCTTAATCCCAGGACCCTGGGATCATGACCTGAGCGAAGGCAGACGCTTAACCGACTGAGCCACCCGGGCGCCTCTTTAAGGAAATGTCTTATTTTCATATTCTATTTACTAAGTTATATCTTAATGTAATAAAAAGGTTAATTTTTTAAATTAAATATTTTGTTCATTTTAGTCTATATTTCTGGCTTTTTATAGCCAAAGAAAAAGAATCCTTATAGTCCTTACCCACCTCCCCAATACATCTTTTGCTTAGCAAGAGGTATTTTTCACTATGTCACTCTAAACCAAGTATGTTTAATTGCTATTTAATAAAATCATTTATTTTCTTTTAGTCCTCTTATTTCTGGACCAACTATGTCTTTGATGGAAGAGCAGCTCTTTATTTACCGCAAAGGACTAACCCTACTGGAGACATGTTACCTCTTCCCAGAAAACTTCAGCTTGCTCATTTGGATGGCATAATTAGCTAGTTTGTGGTCTGTTTTTGACACATTTCACTAGTCTGTTAGGATATGCTCTAACAGACTTAGCTTCCCTCTTCCCTTTTGACCCCAGAAATTTGCTTAACACAATTATTGGGACATGACTAACCATAACGGCACACTAGGAAATAGTAAAATCATGCCATCTGTCACCAGACAATGCTTTGAAAACTTTCTCTCCACATTGTTATAAGCTCAATAACCTTGACTGTACACCAAATTATGACTTTTGGTTTGGGAGCACCTGGCTGGTTTGGTCAGTAGAATGTGTAACTCTTGGTCTCTGGATTGTGAGTTTGAGCCCCACCTTGGTGTAGAGATTACTTAAAAAAATAAAATCTTAAAAAAAAAACACAAACTTTTGGTTTGTTTTTCTCTTTTGTAACATTGGAGTTATATTCTTGTGTGAAGTCTGCTGGGGCTATTTGGAATTTGTCAATATGTAGAAGCTTTAATATGGATGATGGGAATATTTCCAGAAAGTGATTTAAGAGGGAAACCAAGCTGCTCTCTTCTCCCAGATGGTTTGTGAAAGGGAAGCAGCAGGGAGAACAAAATCTTCAGAATAGAGTCACTTGGTAGACCTATGTCTAAAGGTGAGTAAAACTGGGTTTTTTTTTTTT